CTCAATAAATCTGACCTAACGAGCAACGAAACAAAGGACAGGAGGGCCCCCAGAGAAGACAGATGGCTTCTGGACTCAGGCTCCCATTTAAATCCTCAACCTACTCAACAAGCAGCGGTGTGACCCTAGCAAGCCACGTGCCCTCTCTGAGCCTCAGTTTCCTCCTCACAGAGCTGCTGTGAGCATCGAGTGAGCACCTGGCACGCTATAAGCACTTGGTAAATGTTAACTAGTATTTACGCACAAGATTTGTAGTCTGGACTCAAGAAGCTCAGATTCGGATGGGTAGGTGGGCAACGACCACTTCTAATGTGTGAAGAATGCCTCGTACCCCAAATTAAACCAAACATTTGCAGGCGCGCGGGCCAGCTGCTACCCAGCCGGCCGCCGTGCTGCCAGCCTGGGAACAGGTGCCAAGCGCCCGCACCGGCTGGTACCAGCCCTCCGAGGGAGGAGCCGCCCACTCCCCTTGGCAAAGCTGGCGGCACTCCCATGAGGGCTCGGGCCAAAAGCTGTTGGTTGGACTGGGGGATGGGGGCGGGGGGGTGCAGAGGGTGGTGATGAGGGGAAGGCTTTCAGGAGGTAGCTGTGCCCACAGGAAGAGCTGGAATCTGAAGGGAAACCCCGCTGAGTCAGTGCTTCCCCATCTTCCAGCTCCTTGGGATGCTAGTTAGAAAAAGGTCTTCCTCATTAAAGTCTGGGAATTCCTAGATTTTCCAGCGTCTTCATTTTTGGTCAGCTGACGTTTGCAGAATACTTAACTGTGCACCAGGCGCCAGGGCAAGAGCTTTCCACATGGCACCCTGTGACCCTTGGCAAGAACAGGAGGATGTCCCGCTACCCTGTTTGACCGGTGTGGCTCCCGGCCCCTAAAGTACTGGTCTGGGACTGGGAGCTTCCATCATTAGCTGAGCTCTGGAAGCTGGGGAGCCAGGAGGCACGCAGCACTCAGCTTGCACAAGGCTTTCAGGCAACCTCATAGAGCGTTCTATGGGCTGAATAACCCTGCTGAAACACTGGCCTGGGGGCTTTTATGGGCGGGGCATTTCAGGAGGTGCTCAGCATAAGGATCGGCCAGAAGGGACACCCCTAGGTCAGAGGGCTCCGGGTCTGGGCCGGAGATGCCCTACCTCTCAGGGATCAGGCCAGCGCCTGGTCCTCGATGGAGCCTAGGAACCAGGGACAGTCAGCTGCAGGGTGAGTGAGAACCCACGAGACCAGCCAGCCTTGGCCAGGGTGCCCAGTACCTATCCCCGGACAGCCGGAGGGGCAGTTTCTGTCTGGAAGCAGAGAAGAGGGAAAAGGAAGACGATCCCAGCATTGTTCAGAGCTCCAGATGTCGGTCCATTTCTGAGCTCTGGCCAATGGAGAAGCATCTCAGAAAAGCTGAGAAGCCCTGCACAGTAATGACCTAAGGGGGGACTACGACTTGTCTGATCCAAGCCCTCGGGGGCTCCCTCACCCCAGAGCGCTCTCTCTCAGCGCAGTGCGGTTTGAGTGCAGCCTCTGCTGGGCTCCAATCCTAGTGCGGACACATGCTCGCCCGCCTGTGTCATCTTAGGCTAATTACACAACTTTGCTAAGCCTCTATTTCCTCATCTGAAAAGCAGTAGCTTCCTCAGGGGTGCAGCGGCTATGACAATGACATGGAGTGGATTCCGATGGCACTGGTCAGGAGAAAGCCAGGCACAAGGCTGGCCGGGCTCTGGTCTCCTCGTCCAATTTTAAATGACACTTCCCTGCTGCTGCCGTGACTTCCAAGGGGGAAACTGACACAAAAGTCCCAGTTCGGCTCACAGTGTCAATGGCAGGGAGTGCACTGGCTGGGTTCCTGCCTCCGGCCTGGGGCTTCCGCCTAAGTGTGCCTCCCATCGCGGCCACTGAGGACTCACCATGGAAGACCCTGACGTGACGGTATAGGCAGCCAGCAGCCTGTGAGCCCAGGGTACCAGCCCTGCCGGCCCCAGATGCCCTTTGAATCGCCCTTTGTCACACAGGTGGCACTCAGGAATGAACGCTGCATGTGCAAGTCACTTTCTCTGCTGACACAGGTGAACGTTATCTTTAAAGTCACTCAGGAGATTAGCACAACAGGGAAGTGCAGCCCAAGACCACTGTAGTGATTCCCAGGAGTCTCTCGCAGAGCCGGGGCTTCATCCTGACTGCTTTCGGTCTCCACAGGCCCTTCCTTGTCTTTCCTGCACGCATTAGGGACCGTGGCATTAGGGACCGTGGGGAAAAAGTCAGGATGGGCCAGGTGGGTGTGGGGGGCGCAGGGAATGGAAGGACGTAATTAGCAACTCTAATGCACATGCGCCTCCAGCGGCTGTTGTCTCCAGAGGCTGCTGAGGGCCCAGGACCGCTGGTTTCTGTTGGCTCTGTCTTTCCGAGAGGGAAACACCTGCTTTCCACGTGGTCAGCAAAGGGAGTGGAGAGAAGTGGCGGGGAGCCTGGAACACACTGCCCTGCTCCGACTTCCGGTACTGGACAGGGAGACATGGGACCTTGGCAATGACGGATGGGTGGGACCTCGAGGAGGAGAAGTCCACTCCTTTTCCATCCATCCGGCGGCCACCGCCCTTGGAGCCCGCGCCCAGCACGTCTGAGAGGAACCTCACAATGGCCTTCCTACTGCTGATAACACACACCAATACCGAACATATTCCACAGCGAATCCCAACTCAGTAACTTAGTAAAATGCTTTAAACCAATTCCTCTAGGGATATGGAGGGGGAAAAAATGGTCTAGTAAAATCAGTCTGATGTCTCGCTGTCTCACAGGACGAAAATCCTTCTCTATTTAGAACACTGGGCTTTAAGCCCCCCTCCTTCTTCCTGCCCATGAGCGGGGTGTGGGGAGGCTTTCTGTGGCTGCCCAGGGACCCAGAGGGGCCACATCTTACACCTGGAGAGGCACAGGCAGAAGCCACAAGGCAGAGCTGGGTAGAGCACTAGCGGAGCCCGTGTCTACAGCTGGCTTCCTCTCCCAGGTATCTGCCATCTGCTCAGGCATCTTGAAGGCTGGGACTGCCTTGCACGCTGTGTCCTCCTCAGCCCTGTCAAATGTACTCTCTCTGACTGGAAGGCACGCTGAGACCCTGATCTGGTGACCGTTCCAGAGAGAGCAAGTTGGAACACCACTGCCCACCTCTTAGCTAATGCAGAAAGGAAAGAGAGAGAAGGAGAGGCAGGGGAGGGCAACATCCCAGCGGGCAGTGCCAGGG